ACTCTCGATCCTTCCTAAAAAGGGCTGAGCCAAAAGGTTGTACATATCTGCCTGCTCGCAAGATCGAGACGAAAGACGTCATTTGTCGACCAAGTCACAAAGCCGAGTCGAAATGTGTTTTGCCCTTGAAACCCCCTATCGACAATCAATCACCATCACATTGAATGTATGATCAGAGTCATCATTGCTCCAACCCCATGACTCATCGAACTTCATCAACACCATGCTTCCATAGTCACCATCACATTAAACCCTTAGGTGACTCATCTCATCTACAGGCGACACTTATAGAGTAGTTGCCGACTCAGCGGACTGCCTGGACTCGGCCGAAATTATATAGACACCCACATCATTTGGATATAAATTGGCACACCGCCTACTAGCCAGGGTTATGCAATTTCTGCACACTTAAAGAGAACTTGATCACTTCCTTGAACCCCTTCAGATCGTAACTGACTTGATCATCTCAGATATCATCGGAGAACCTAACTCCGATCCTCTAACGTGTGTAGTTTTGCAGGACTCTCTCGCTATTGAGGGATCAGCCACCAAAGGGGGTCAAGGGACCCCCAAGCTCTCACGATCAGCCCTCAATCCCTTGTTGAGAGCTTGTGCATCAACATCATATTTTTTTTTGCAACCCACATTCGTTCTGGTAGAGAACCTTTGCAACTCCCTATACTAGATTGCAATTTCACAATCTCCTCCTCCCTCCTGCTCAAAATTTCAAATTTTGGGTGAATTTGGTAATTTGGGGGATTAGGTCATTTAGATGACGATCGCGATTTTTGTTTAAGTGCATGTTTGTTTGCATGGAAGTAATTATGAAGTAGCTGAAGTAAAAGAAGTAGAGACTACTTCTGCTATTTCCAAGTAAAAAAGTGTATTTGGTCCTCTGAAAAACTTACTTCCAATACTTCCTTAAAAGCTTATGTGGCGCCTACGTGTCATCCTTACTTCTAAAATATTTTTCCAATCCTCAATACTCAGAAGTAGCTCGGAAGTAGTTGAAATGCATATTAATTAGGAAATAAATAATTTTTATTAATATTTCCTTTATTAGTTACTTCTAACAACTTTTCATTGATAAAATTGCTCTTAATTTTAACAATTATTTTGTAGTAATTTGTGATGGTCGTTGGCCAGCTTTTTTGGGATGAAGAGAACAGTTTGTCTATTAATTCTTTGTCTAAATACCATGTTGATGTTATGATCAAAGGAGCGAGGGAGGAGATAAATTGGGGATTCATAGGAATTTATGGTCATCCAGAGTCTCATCATAGACGAGAGTTAAACAATTATTTTGAAGCTATGTGGTTGAAGGATTCTTCTTGCTCTCAAGTGGCGAAGGATCATAGCGGCATGAAACTAGTTGTAACGTGCTAGATCAAATTAAAGAGCGTGGTGTGGCTTTAAAATTATGGAAGCAGCATGTGTTAATTGCTTCTTAGTAATATTTTCAAATGTTATCCAAACAAAAAAAAGTAAATGAAGAGGAAGAAGTTTTACTTCCATTACTCCTAAAAATATATGAAATAAACAAAAAAATGTTATTTCCATTACTTCTTACTTCATAGTTTTGAAAGTTACTTCTATAACCTACTTCTTACTTTTAATACTTCTAATATCCAAACGGACCCCAAGTTAAATCTCCCACTTACCCCCTTGCCACCTCATTACTCTACTGCCACATCAGCACTCAAAACGTTTAAAAACACATGCATAGGTCACGTGAATCATTTAAATCGTCACTGACAACAAATTTAGACTGTACCGCGTTGTACTTACTTGAAATATCTTAAATGTAGCGCAACATTTTTTAGATATCATCTATATACTACTAAAAAAAGAGGATTGGGGTGTTAAATTTTTTTTTTTTTTTGCCCTCTCAAATTTTGATAAATTCTATCCATACCATTATCTCTAATTAAATTTTCATTAAATAAATATAACTATTTATTAATTATGCATCCTCTCACCTTCCTAAGTAATTATAATTATCAATAACATTATAACTAGGGAAAATTGCTTCAAGGCCCCAAAACTCAATTTCCACTGTGTTGCAGCCTCCTTACTTTTCCTAATGTGCTGCAACCCCTCCTATTTTAAAAAATTACGTCCAGACCCCTCCAGTCCAAAATCCTGATTTTGCTCCTCGGGATTTCTCTTTCCCGTCCAGTGCCTGCTTCCTTTGTCTGTCTTTTCTTGCTCTCTTCTCTCGCACGCGCCTACCTCGCCTGTCCGAAGCTGCCTCCTTCTCTCCCCTGCCCCTACCTCCGTACCTGCCATCCGGCTGTATTCGCCGCCGTTCCCTCTCTTTCTTCCCCCTCCCTAATCCTTCGACGCCCCACTCCACCCCCTCCCATCGTTATTGCCGTTTGCCTCCTCTCGCCCAGACGCCGCCTCTCCTTCCCTACTTCCCCCTTCCGCAGCCGCGTCACCCTTCCCTCCCGAGCTCAGGTTTAGAGCGTCTCCGCTGCCCCTTCTTTATCCACTATTCGTCGGCTATTAGTTCGTGGGTGCGCTGTTTCTGCTTGCCGTCTCCTCTTTCCCTCACGTCGCTTCTCCATGCTTACCTTTCCTCCTCTTCTACCACAACTTTATATTAGCGGTTTTTTTGTTTTTCTCGACCTCCCTTCCCCACGCTGCCGTCCCTCTTCCCTACCCTCCCCCTTCCCGCAGCCCCTGTTTTCACTTTTCTGCCGACCTTTCATGTCGCCCTTTTCCCTCCCTCCCCCCTTCCCAGCCTTCCCGCCTCCCTACCCCACGCGCGTCCTCCCCCACCTCCCATAGCCTGATTGTTTTCCTACTCCTTGTGCCCTTTGTCGCCTCTTCCCGTCCCTTCTCACCTCCCCTCGCTATCCTGTCCCGTCCGCGCTTCCTCTTATCCTCGCGTGCCCCTCCACGTGGTCCTCCCTCTCCTCTCGTCCACACTCCCCAGTTCCCCTGGGCGTTTTGCATTATCTCTCCCTACTATTTTTTCCTCCCGCGCGCCGTTCTGCTCTGAGCCCCCTCTGTGCCTTTTGTCTTTCCCTCGCCCTATTCCGCCGCATGCGTCATCCCGATGAACTTCGCATGGGCACATTAGTAAGAGTTAACATGTTAATTGTTAGAGTTAACATGTTAACTGCAAGAGTTAACATGTTATCTGTAAAAGTTAACATGTTATCTGTAAGAGTTAACATGTTAGATGTAAGAGTTAACATGTTAGCTGTAAGAGTTAACATCCGCTAGCATGAGAAAGAGGAGGGTAAGTTTAGGATTTAAACCAGCTGACATGTCTAATCATGAGCTGGCATGTCTAATCAACTGCTGGCATGAGGTGGAATCATGATGGAGGGGCCTTGGGCACATTTTTTTCAAAAAAAAAGGGGCTAAAGCACATTAAAAAAAATAGGAGGGGTTGCGGCACATTGAAGTTCAAATTTGGGGCCTAGAATCAATTTTCCCTTATAACTATTAATTATTTAAAAATAATAAACTAATAATTTACAAAATAAGTATACACAATTATTAGTAGTAACCAATTAAATTATTATAATAGATATTTATGAATTATAATAAAATAATTAAAATAATAGTATAAATAGAATAATATATTACTAATACTATTAAGAATTAAACTATAATTCAATAAGCAATAAAATAAATAGAATAAATTTTGAATCTCATAAATAATATAATTATTTTAATAATATCACATAAATTACAAATTGTACTATATATTTAGTATTATATTATTAAAAAATTAAATAAATAATTTAATATTATTTTTAGAGTATTTTCTCAAAGATTATTTCATGATAGTGATAATCTAAACTTGGTAATGATGGATACAGTTACCACAAAATTTTAGTTAATATTAATAATAATGTTATAATTGTTAAGGACAATATAATAAAAACTTATAAAATATTTATAGTATTAAATTATTTAAGAGCATAATTAAAAAATTAAGTTAGATACATATTTTATAGTATATAGAAAGTATAACTATTTTAATAGTATTACTTGAACTAATAATTATAATATTAAATAAGGTAAATTACAAGAAACCCCATGAACTTTTAGTATTTTACAATAAGTAGACACTATGAACTTTAAAATCACTCCAAACCCCTATTAACTTTTACAAAAAGGCCCAATACCTTTTACATAAATTACCCCAAACCCCAACTTTCAAAATGCCTTTTTACACCATTTTCTAGTTCTAATTTATAGGGGTTATCTGCAAAATTTAAAAAGTTATTGGGGGTCTTCTTTGAAATAGAAAAGTCATTAGGGGTTTAGTGTAATTTTAAAAGTTCACGTTGGCTAAAAGTTCATATAGATTTAGTGTAATTTACCCTATTAAATAATTATAATAAAAAGTAAATATTACAATATGTTGTAGGTATCAAGTTTATCTAGGGAATATTAGTAAAAATCTAGCAAGATTAATGCATCTTCATTAGTTTAGAATTAAGTTAATAATTTTTAAGTTGAAGGGGCATACTTAAGAGAACTTATAGAATTAACAGTTTTATCTAAAAACAATTTTAAATTTGGGGACTTATTTAAAATAAATTAACAATGAACAATTATTATAAAAAACATTCAAATACAATAACTACATAATAATAATTAATTCATACATTTCTCTTTAAATAATCTTATTATACAATTTTATTTATTAACACATAGTTTTACTATTTAATAAAAAATTTGAAACTTAATAATAATCAATTCATATATTTCTTTTTAAATAATCTTATTATACAATTTTATTTATTAACACATAGTTTTACTATTTAATAAGAAATTCAAAACTTAAAACATGCACATTCATACAATTTTATTTATTAACACATAGTTTTATTATTTAATAAGAAATTCAAAACTTAAAACATGTACGTTCACGTGCACAGCATGTGCATTATACTAGTATTAGTAAAAGGGGTTCACTTAGCCTATGAAAATAAGAAATACAAAATAAACTTCCTATTTTCTCACATCCAAAATAAACTCAATGAGCAACCGTCATTTCAAGATGTTCTCTTACAAACTAGTTCTACAGCAGAACATGAAAGTATACACACATCAAGAAATAAGCAATAACAGCGGCCACAGGTGATAAATGAAAGTGCCTAAGAGAATAGTACTAATGTCACAACATATTACAAACGCTCGATTGAATCATCTCAACTCATAACAAGTAACTAACTCGAGCAGGAACTCATACATCCACCTTTCTAGTAAGTAAAACTAAAATATTGAAGACCAACATAACTTGATGACGGAACAGAAAATAGAACAAAAGTAAATATATTTTTGACATATATTTTCAGTGTAATCGTGTAAGCTCCTCAACTCTCCTGCAGAGCTCCTCAACAGGAACATCCATGGTCTTAGAGATCTCCTCCATCTTCACGCGGCTAAGATCAAGGAAAGATTCAATAAGATCCCCATCCAAGAAATTTCTAGCATCAGAAGTTTTCTTCTCATTATTAAATGATCTCCATTGCTCATGAATTAAGCCTCCAACTCCCTTAATAACCTTATTAAGGCATCCCTGGAGCTTTTCCAGAAAAATGTAATGGTCATGAGAAAGAGAAGCAATAACCCCAATAACCCCATTAACGGTGCCAAATATAACGGTGGGGATTTGGCCGATCTCAGAGTCTGGGAGCCTCATAACAAGGGAGCCATGCCTGAAACAGTTAACAAACTCACCAAGGTGGTATTCACCGACCACCTCGAGCCTACCACGCTCCTCGTCAGTAGCTCCGTCGCTGTTTCTTCGAACTGTGAAGAGATTGAAGTTGTTCTCTGCACCGAGGTAAATGTCATCGTTGAGAATCTCAATGGCGGTCATCCAGTTTGCGTTATAATCACGGGCGCGCTCTTCAATGGCACCTTCTTCATGCTGAAAGATAATTTTTTTACAGGAGTACGTATAAGTAAACTTTTCTCATAGCTAAGCTAGTAGAATTTATATGAAATATTTTAAATTCTATCCATCGAGTGGATTGATTGGTGTATCACACATATAATTTCAGCTTTATGAGGTAATTAAACGTAATATTTCATGGACAGGCGAAAATTGTTTGTATGTCGAATATATCAAACTGATCACTGCACAATGTTTTTAACTTTATTGTGATGCTAAGTAATGGTGGAGAATGCTAGCATACCTTATATATCAAAAGAGAGATTGATTTCATCAAATCGCCAACTACAATAAAGTCTCCACGTGTTTGAACATACAAAGCGAGTATATGACCATGATGCCCACACTCTGACTGCAGCTCTCGTGATCCATCCTCTCGAAGCATCCACTTGTATAATTGAATCTTTTGATTGATAGCAACCAGTAATTTCCCATTGAAGGCATTGAGAGAGTAAACAGCTCCTTTGGTTTCCTTTTCAGTAATTAATTGTAGCTTCCCATCTTCAACTGCAAAAACAAGAATACGCCCCTGCAAGAAGACAAACCATATGATATCCATCTTAAAATAATAAATAAAAGCCATCTTTAAGTACTCATAAATATCAGTACATCACCACGAATCAGAATTCATGCTTACACCCTACGATTGCTTCTTCCTACGAGTGCACTTATTACGATCTAAATAATATTAAAAAAATAACTCAACAAACGAATGTGGGATATAGATAAAGGTGGTTACAAAATTACAACACATTTTCTGTTTGTGGCTAAATTAACCTACAATCTCTACTACTATCATAATGAATCTTACCCAAAAATTGGGATAGTTAGGTTCCTAAAAACAATATGACTTGGACATAGAAAAGGACGAGATCATTTAAGAGATACTGGACTCTCGAAACAAGAAATAACATATTATTCACAACATCAAATATAAGAATCAAGCTAGAAATACACTTTGGATACCGACTGAAAACAAGAAGAATCTCTGTTCAAGTCGGTTGGTGTTTCACTAAGTGTTATGCCAGCTGTTTGTTGCCTAAGATATAAACTATAAACTCTCACCTATGAATATTAGTGTGCCAATGTGAGAAGGTGGAAACTAAAGCCATTCACATATATCCAAACATCAACAAGGATATAAACAAAGCTCCCAATTGCGGATGTTGGGCTTTGGTACCTGGGCAGATCCCATGTCGGATAGACGACGTCAAGCAACATGTTGGGACATTTAAGTAGATAGTGAACATTAAATATAAGCTTATTTGAAGAAGGAATATCCAATAGACCAAACAAACAATGCAAACATGTATCTGGACAAAAAACATTGTAAATTATAAGCAATGGACACAGAAACACAAAAAGGAATGAATTTACGAACGCTACATCATTATAATTCACAAGCAAACCAGAACGTTGGAGATATATTTTGACAATACATCAGGTAAAACACACCATTAGCAGTGCTGCAAGATATATCAGCCTTCATATTGTAACTTATAAGCAATGAACATGTGAAATGAATAGATGAAAATGGATATTCACTAAATTATTATGGTTCACAAGCATCTTGGAGATATGTTCCAGAGTCAGATCAAACCCAACACGTCAGGAAATTTGGGTAAAAAACTGTTGTAGGTTGTATAGATTTTATCTACCTTCATACTGTAGCATGTATTTTAAAAAGGTTCCTCAATCAATACATCAGGACATATTGCACACATTTAAAACAGTCATATAAACCTTTACACCAGATGGAAAATTGGAAAGGTCCCTACTAGGAAAAAATGTAACATGAGAAATTCGTGGTTTCTCTCTACAATGAGATTCTTGTCTTTCTCTCTCAAGTTGACATCCTGAGTTTCTAAAGCATTCAAATAATTTAAACGTTGCAACTCAGTATGTAAAGCATAATGCAATATTTATACTATATAGTATATAAACAATATGTGATATTTTGACAAACAGTATGCAAATAATAAAAAATTACTGATACGCACTACATTGCCCCACAATCCCAAAAAGTATAAGCAAAAAGGGGGACAATGATAGCAAAACAGAGAGGGAGAGTTCAGTATTTATACTATATATGCAAACATGTGATATTTTGACAAACAATATGCGAATAATAAAAAGATACTGAGACACTAAGTTGTGTCGCCATCTCAAGAAATATAAGCAGAAAAGGAATGATAGCAAAACAATGAGGATTAGGCCTTACTTTGGTGGGTTCATTTTCTTCAGGCAGAACATAGGCAGTTCCAACACAATAATAGACATTGTTGTCATCTGAGAAGGAACAACTAATGATAGAGCAACCATTTTCATAAGTGTCCAACTGATAGATTGATTTGAACTCAAAAGTTTGATCATCTAACAACCGAACAAAATGTGTTTCACTTTCCTCTGTGCTGGTATGACAGTTTTTATAACTACAGATCGCGAAAGTCCGAGACTGCTCCTGATGGCAGATACGCCGTGCATGTTCTCCCAGAGGGATTGAGCGAATATGAAGCTTCTGAATGTCATCAATAGTTCCAATTGAAAGTTCACCCTCTTTGGCTATTGCAAGGCTGTTACAATCAGATTGCAATAAGTTAATATTAAATCAGTGTTGTCAATGCGCGAGGCGCAATACAGAGCACAAAGTATCTTCACGCGCACATGCGCAAGGTGCAACACGACGCGCGCGCCCCAGTGATGTGAGATGCACACCGCACATATAATTTTGCAAGATAAATAATCAAGCACGAAAGAACATGCATAGGAGTTCACATAAAAAATATGTAATAACTTACTACCAAATCATGATATAAGGTCTTAGTATCTGATGCCAACACATCCAACGTAGCAGTAAAGTTCATACTTTTTCAAATCAAGCTTCAAATCAAGATTAATATACAAACAAAATCAAATAGTAAGCGAGGACTGCTTAGGGTCCTCAATTGAAGGCTACCAAAAAGGTTTACTAGATTTATTTTGTTTCTTGGGACATGATTTATTGAGTATAATGAAATGTTAACGATAAAAAATATACGAGCTTACGTACTCCATACCCCCTATGCAAAGTCAAAATGCTTGCAAGGCGTCAAAGGAACATAGCTTCAAAAAAGTACTTGAAAGGTAGTATTTACGAAAACAAAAAAAAAACTAATGAGAAGAACCTCATCACCATGAAAAATGAGATCATTACTGTATAACTGTCAAATAAGCTGCAATGATGCAATAGAACAATCTATAACACAGGGGTACTCAGCATATATACAGGTTAAGCAAACAAAGAGTAAGTGAGAAAAAAAATGATGAGAGACTAGAAATTTCAACATTGTTTTCTATAAATGAAGCAAGAAATCACCTGTCTGGGTAAGCAGCAGAGTTAAAAGGGCACATATGGCTAACTTCTCTCAGATTCACATTACTGTAAAGTAACTTCTTATTGCTACTGTATATCACGGTTGGCCTATCTGATGCAGCAAAAACATGGGTGGTATCCTTTGAAGAAAATGTACGTAGTGTAATTGGTTGCGTCCCAAGAGATACTTTCTTCCTATCTGACAGTTCACCAGTGTTCATATTCAAGAGAAAGTTGAACAGGTGTCCATCTCCAAGGGCACATAACAAGTATGATACCTAAAATATAAACAGAACACACAAATAACCAAGATGATGAAATATATCAGTAAAGTCTAATCTAAGAGGCATAACAGATAAGACCCACTGCACTTCAACATACTCCTTCAAATTTGCATAGAAGGACGGAACGAGGTATAATTTCTCCACCCAGATTTTCCTTTGTGATCATATCCAAGCCCGGTAGTGAATATATCCTGGCGCTTATATCAGTCCACATCCCAACTGCTGCTAATGAACTATAGCAAGAATTTTCCCCAATTGGATTTATGTCGAGACATGATATCTCATATTCTAGCTGTATATGCTTTACTTCAGTCAATTTAGCATTCCCAATTTCAAGGTAAACAAGATGTCCACCTCCTGTAGCCAAGAGAACCTGTGGTTCACACAATGTAACAAGATCTCAGTCATTAAATCTTCTCTGTAACTGCCATGTAGGAAGAGAACATCAATATATAATCGAGATAAACAAACAGCAGGGTCCAAAAATGAGTGCTCTTGATTTCACTGTGTGATAATTGTTGAATACGGAACGTACAACAAACAGAAATGACAACGTTGCATGAGTACCCATGCTAAAAGAGCAAATGAAATTTGATGCGTCTCCACACGAAGGTGAAACCAATTAATTGTCATTTATCACTGCATATTTACTCTATTTTTTGCATGTGGTAGTTGAAACATATTTGTACCATCTTTCACCTTCTTGGCCAGGAACCTATTATGATGATCAAATGTCGAAACTGTCACGTGTTGCATGTGCTTACACACTAAGCTTAGGCCAATTAGTGTGCTCATACTAAATGTTACAATATGGTGAAAGTTTGAATAAATTTAATAGTTATTGTCGTCTACACACAAGGTGATACTGCCTGCAGTTGACAATTTCAACACAAAATTGATTAATAAGGCCGATCTGACTAAGTATCTGGAAGTTGAAGATATCTTTAAGCTGCCTTGCACTCGGCCACTCGCAAATGTCAGTTAAAAAAAAACACCTGTAGTGCAACATGGAAGTGCACATTTGATATCCCATTTTCTTTTCATTATGCTAACGTCATCATAATTATCTAATCCAATACCTATAGTGAAAGTTAAAATAATCTTTGCACATTAAGTACCTCACCCCTCCCTTTTTTAAAGGCCGAATTAACACAAAGCTAAAAAATGGTAACAAAATGTTAGTCACATTGCTTACACAATTTTTTGTAGAGAACAGATCATTTAACCAAGAAATAAGGTTATGGCAGACAACTATCCCTACATCGTGCGTATTTTTACCAAAACGAGATATTAGTTTTTCTGACAGCCTGTTCTCACTAATCTGCTGAGCACATCAAGTGTGTGCTTCTTGTTGTTTGAAATGTCAATGCACAAGGTCTCAATTCTATGTTGTGTGATACTTTAGACTACTTCTATTACGAAACCGTACCTGTACCCGTACCCGACACGTCCTGTACCCAACACTTCTTGGACACTCCTTATATATACATATATTTATCTAAATGCGTACTCAATTATACAATAACATGATTTAATTTAGAACATTAGTCATACACTTCTTGGACGTATATCCCACACTTCTCACATCCACTTTGGAAACTTGTTGGACAAGGGTTAGGTTTCTTTCAGTTAAGAACAACAACTTCAAAGGGTCATTATCTAGCTCAGAACTATGATTTTCAGCCCACGCGTTTCAGTTGTCCCCGCACCCTATCTTTGACAAATTTTCCATGTCCTGTACCTGTATCAGCACCAGTATGCATGCAACTTATGTGAATATCTTTAAATTCTACAATTCAGATTTCCCAATAACTTTGTCTCACAAAGTAATTATAACATTTTTATCAATCAAATTAGAGCCATACACTTTCAATTTTAGTCAAGTTTCGAAAAGATCAAGCTACTAAAAATCCATACAGCATCTGTACTTCTATACTCAAATTATAAATGAAAAAAGTAATGGAAAAAGTTAGCAATGAACCTGGCTAGCATTTGCAGTTGCAACGTTGACAGAAAATCCAGAAGGAGCAGTCCACTCATCTAACAGCTCCCGAGATGTCGAACTGACTAATCGAACAGAGCTTGCAGTTACCTGTCACTAGCAGCTGCTTATTAAAAAGCATTAAACTAGAATTTGTAGATATTAAATTCTCTCCTTTAACTATACTGAGTCAAGCAGTTGATTCAAAAATTATTGCCTTTTAATTGGAAACAACATGCATGGGTAGGGCTCAGCTGTTCCAGCACACCAAGCTAACATATTACCACCTAATAGGTGATCTCGACATCTAATCTTGGTTCCACTTATGAAGTGTGTAATGGGTAAAAGAATTATGTAATTCAAAATTTCTAAGCAAGCGCCCCCAAAAAAAAAAAAAAAAAAACACCAAACCCACCAATTTTCCTGTTCTTAATTACAGTTTGTTTTCCAATGCATTTGTACAAAGCAAATATTGGTCCCTTACTGCTAAACTTGCCTTACTGCATAGTTGTTAATACACATATGATAAGATTGTCATTTGTTTTCCGAAGCATTTCTACAAACCAAATACAGGTCCCGTACAGCTAAACTTGCTTTACTCCATAGTTGTTAATGCTTTACGTTAGGCAAGATGTATCATATGATACAATAAAACATTAAAGAAAAACACTAGCTGCATGACAGGATTAGTCGGGTGAAAATATTGTGATTTGTTTAGTTTATTGCATGACAGATACGCCCCACACACCAGGCAGTATATCTATACCAGCTTTTGACTTGGATTATTGGCTTTTATTCAAGTTCTGAATTGAGTATTCACTTCACAATTATAACTTGCTAGACATCCAACAGGTCAGGGTTTATTTTACATCAATTCCCTCAATTGGTTCGATCTCAAATTTCTTTGCCTTAATCATCCATTCTCTCAGCTTTACGCTAAACATCAAACAGGCTATCGCCAATCCTTTTAGAACTTTGTCGACACTGACCAACAGGCCATCACATTATTACTGAGTTTTGAGGAAGCCTCCTGAACACTTACCTGAGACTCAAAAAGACGTACGACAACCTTTGTACAGCATTATTGACCCTCACTAAGGCTCACAGAGCCCTGCTGAAGCCTCCTCAAGTTTACCTGAAGTCTCATTACCTTGTCTGACATCTCTCACCCTCCTAAAGCCATGCTAACCTCCAGTGATGTTTTCGACCCCTCAACCAACCAACACCCCCTATCAGGCTTCTTCTGATCTCTAGTTGTTGATCATTATCACATTTTTAGATAGTTTAAATATAAGCATGTGATAACAGATAAGATATAGGAATTTGATTGGTTAATTGTTTAATTAGTGCTAAGCATTTGATTAGGGGTAGATTCCTAAAACATGTGAGAAGGTGTATATTACTAACTCGGTATCTTAACCATAATCATAATTCATAAATTAATATTTAGATCATAGCCTCTAAATTTACTTTAATTTACTTTTGTTCTCGTTGTGTTTACGCTTCTTGATAACGATAAGGGAACGACCAATCTCCTTCTTTTAAGGAGTTTGTTTTATTATTTGTTTCCATATAGAATTTGAAATCGGGAAAAATAAAACAAAGGAGCGCCAGTTACCTCATATCATATGGAAGCATTGTCAACGTGTACAGGAACAGTTAAGATGTAATTACTGAGAGAACTCATATAAGCTTGAATGAAGAATCATTTGGCTGGAACGTAGCAAAATGTCAAGACTATGGCCATAATATATGAATGATGTTAGATAACTGTTCCTAGGTTTGTTAAAGAAAAAGAATGATCATGATTGTATTGAAGAATGGATATAATTGCGGTAAAACACAAGTGCTAATATGGGAACTTTGGTGTTCATCCACTAAGGGAGGAGCAAAAGTTGGAAAACTGAGACTAAAAAAGCCAGTGAGGCATGAAGGGTAGGAATGTCAAATCAATCTATTTGCCATTTTTGGTGAGAAAATGCTCCTTCTGCCCTAACCATGCAGAAGAATGTCTTTTTTCTCTATCTATATCATTCATTTGCAACCAGTGAATGCACATGCGTGTTAATCAGCGGGCCAACAAACCATACTCCGATTATCAATTTTGAAGTAACGAGTCAGTTTTGAGAATGTAGTTTCATCCAGAAAAACATTAGCTAGTGACCAACCTGGACAAGCTGATCATTGATAGCATTTTGGCAAAATAAAGTCTGGGCTTGAGAATAAAAGCCTTCAATTTCAGTTTCTTCTAACTCATCTTCCATATTCATTGCCAGAAAGCGTGTCTCACTGATAAAGCTCACTACCAGGAAAGTATCATGTGGATCATCAGTGGAAGAACGTAATGACCACAAGCCTTTGATGCCTTGAAGTTCTACAGATGCCTAAAATAGATGAATAAACTGTCATTAAAAATTAAACGTTAAAAAGACACTTACACGTACATTAATATAAAATAAAATGCTGTTATGATAGACACAAACCTGTTCGTTGATCCCGATGCCATTTCGAACAACACGAAGTGAACCGTCTTTATATGCCCCCGAGCAAGTGACCACCTGACCTTGACCTTGCCTTTCAAGGTCAACAACACAAAAATCAACAATAGGCCCTAGGTTAACATATCTTTCAAGGGCTTCAACATATGAACCATTTGCATCAGGTTGCAAATTCAGTTTTACGAGCTGCACCAAGGAAGGATAAATGTTCAACTTAATGAAACAAATATAGAAACCACTGAAGAAGAAAACGGTAAATGACAGTAGAATACCAAACATTAGGTTGAATTTTCAACAAGTAAAATTCCTTTACAAGATAAATTACTCATAATCCAACTGCAATAAACTAGCCAGGGCTAGCAGGAAAAAGAATCACAGTCATGCCAGAATTGGGTACGGGAAAAAACGTTTCTTAGAATAGTCATCAGCAAACTAGAAAAACATAGTAGTAAATAACAAGACAACAGATGCAAGTTGACATAGATACTGGAAAAGCTGCAAACCCCTGTGAAACTGCAACTGATTGCAAGACAAGCACGGGAACGAACAAGCAAAGAGCAATAGTATTCATCCTCATCAAATTACCTGTGAATCTCCATAGCTTGAACCAACATATACCACTGCATTATCAAGATAAGATATTGTGGATGCCACAGATGTCTCCCCTAAATGCTCAATTTTGAGTCCAGTTACCCTATAGCATGTTTAAAAAAATTGCCTGATTAACAGCTTGGAGATGAATACAAAGTTGACGTTTTGTCGGTCATTGCTGTTCTAAAAGAAACCAGTTCAAGTCACATAATTGCAAACAGTTAAATGTCCACCTTTCTTTTTCATGAGTGATAACAAGCAAATGCAGAAGTCCTGTATTATCACTGAGCAAGTACCGAGAACCATCTGCATCAACCCTCCCATAGGCTCTTGTAATGGACTGATGGAACATAAAGTGGATTAAATGCAAGTCAAAACATGAATCAACGGTAGATGAAGGAAGAAAAACATAGAAACAGATGCTAACTACGACTGAAAGTGAGAATACATGCTTAAATGTATGTGTGAATATGGAAGTGTGTGTGTATGTGTGCATAACAGGGACATGTTGGACTGAAAAACTCCATATTTGCATGGCGGATATCAGCGATATATCGGAGATATTCAATAAATGTTGGGTGTCATATTGGATAGTTTGTGTATTCATACTTGATGCACCATAGAATGGAGGTGAGAAAATTTGTATCTTTTCCAATACTTTTGTAAAAGATTGGCCTGAATTGAACCCTAAATCTTATTTCCGGTTATTTACATATGTAGATTTTTGTTAGGGTTTAGACCTCAACTGAACCATAAATCCAAATCGATCTCTAAAACAAATAAACATCCAAATCCACATTGCAATATTTCAGCCGTTTTTTTAGGCTGAAATATCACATGATGTGTAAGGAAAACTACGATATGTCGCCCAAAAATTGTCAAAAGTGGTAAAGGATATTAAGACAATATTGTCTTGTGCCAAGCTTAATAAAAGAATATATTAGCCATATAGGAGATATTTAGCCCAAATATTGCAAAAAGTGGCAAAGAATATTAAGACCATCATTTTGCAGCAAGCCTTATAAAAGAATACATCAGCCAATATATCGGGGATATTTAAAACAATGTGTTTATGCGCACAGGTTTATGTTTATGTGTACATGCGTTTGTGTTCTATATGCATGTCTATGCATATGTGCATCTCTATGTCCATTTCGGTGGATGTGCCTACGGCCGCAGCTAATCAGGGTACACCTACTGGTTTGATCGGTATAGCTTTGAATGAATTTGCACTGCAATAGACAATAGTCTCCTCCCCAATAATAATAACACCACCAAGAGGCATAGGGACAGGAATCAGCAGCCCAGCTCCATTATCAAGATTATTCTGTGACCATGGGCCCTCAACAAAGTCTTTCTCCTTGAGACCAACCTCATATGTTTTGACATGTCGAGCATCTTTATTATCCTGTAGCAGCAAAAGCATAAGAAAACATTATTTTGGCTTTGTAGTCACTTCCACTTGACAGAAAGACGGCATACTTTAAAATAGACTTAGATAATCACAGATAAAGGATAAAAAAGAAGTATAGCATGTGCATTAAAAGTTTAGTCCCAGATTAGATTGCATGATGGTATTTCAAGAAAGAAACACCAGGTTACAAGAGAAAACTATACAAATGAAAGAAGAATGTCCCAACTAAATATGCATGATTTAGAAACCTACAATAATGAAACGGGGGACAACTGAGATGAACTTTGTTTAGCTTGAGCATTATCTCCCCCAACCTTATTAGGACCTATGAAGCACGGACACGGACACGGCGACACGGACACGGCAAAACCCAAAAAAATAGGACACGGCGACACGGTTAGATTTTTTTTAATATTATTATTATATATAGATCAATATTGAATTAAATTCCTATTACATTTTCATATTCTTTGTTATGTAAAGTGGAGATTATAAATAAGAAACTAAAGGAAAATGTGTATTGCAGGAATGAATTAAGACGTCGGGATGACAATGATCTCTTGGAGAATTGAAGACAATAATGTTAAAGAAGACAAGAAAGAGAAGATGAATATATAGAAAACTAGATCAATTTTTTATGTTATATTATTATGTAACATCGGCTTGTATAATCAATGACAAATGTAAGTTATGTAATTGATTTGAAGATAATACCAAATTTTAATTTTCATTACTTTCATCTTGAGTATATCAAAATACAAGAGAATAAAATTCAAGTTGCAACTAGTTCCATGGCTACAAAATACTAAGTTACTAACATTGCAAAAATTACAACCAAAAGTGTATCTTAAAAATAAAGTTCTCAAGTTAAAACATCAAAAGATCATTCTATGGTTTCAACTCCTTCATCCTCCTCAATCACAACGGCCTCCATCGTGGGCTCGTCAAGAGAAAGGGCGGCAACATCTAAAATACCGGCACCTTAAAATGAGTCAAAGGCATCTCCACCAACATCCCACATTCTTGATTCCCCTTCCATATACTCTTCTGAACTTCGAGAAAGTAACCGAGGGTTGGTGTGAACATAAACAAGATCCCCCGCACGTGCTGGGGTTAGCTTGTTCATCTTTAAGGAGTGAATGAAACCATACGTACTCCAATTCCGTTCACAACAAGAAGAGGAACAAGGTTGGCCTAGAAGCTTTACGGCCAATGATTGCAAATTTGGAGTACTTGCACCATAAAGAAGCCACCATGACTTAGGATCCATATGTGCTCTATCGAAAAGAGAATCCGGATCACTAAAAGCCTCCAAAGCCCCCACAAACTTAGCATATTCCAAGTTCACCGCCCGTCGTTCATCGGGTTTAGAATAGTATCTTCTTAAGCACTTTGCTCTTTCTGTAGAGATCTCAAGATCTTGATTTGGAACTTGCCGATTGACGTTCTCATTGAGCCATGTGGAATGATAGTACTTATGTTCGTTAATAACATGAATTAGCCCACAAGGTATTAAGTAATAGAAATATTCGCATTAAAGAGTGAAATGTGAAATATTACCTTGGAACTAAAGAGTGTGCCAAGCACTGAAGCGGGGTGTTGCTATTGTTCCATCGATCCACCAAGATCTTGTGAACCACCTCATAAAAATGAGATTCATCGTTATCCCTTTTACCCTCATGCCTATAAATAGCTTGCTTCACCTTCTCAATCATCATTGTATCCCACATATCATACACCAAATGAAGACATGGTGTATCGGTGTCGGTGACCCTTATCATTTCATAGATTAGGCCAGTGAAGTCAAGAATAAAATCTATCTTGTTCCACCACAAATCATCGAGGATTTTCTCTTTCACAAATTGAGTTTTTCCCACATCATATTCTCTATACAAGCTCCATCGATCACTAAGGACCATGTCTTGGAGACCTCTCTTGACGACCTTAAACCTCTTCAATATAATAATCCACAAGGCAAATCTTGTGTCGGCAATCAATAGGAGCTTCATCTTGGAATAATCATTAAACATGGAAAGCCGCATAGAGTGATTCATGATAAAGTTCTTCATAAACAATGCATCATCGGTGATCTCTATAATCCAATGTAATTATGCATAAGCAATGGCATTTGATTCTGTGTTCTTAGCCGCATAAATATTCTTGATAGCAAGATTGAGTGTATGGACTACACAAGGAATCCAAAATATGTGAGGTCAGGTGCCCTCCACAAACCCTCCCGCGGCTTTGCATGTCGAAGCATTATCGGTTATGATTTGGATGATATTTTTCGGTCTCACCTCTGTGATGCACTTTTCTAGTTGTGCTTGGATAAAATACTTATTCTTGACTTCTCCCTCGGCATTTACGACATTCAAGAACATTGGCTTACCCTCACATACAGTCATAAAATTAATGATGGGCCTCCTTTGTGCATCCGCCCACCCATCACTACAAATGGAGACCCTTTTCTGTTGCCATGTGCCCCTGATGAGCTCCATTAACCTCTCTACGTGAGTTTTCTCACGTTGTAAGATAGTGGTCCTTATGGAATTGTAACTGAGAGGCTTGTAGCCAGAGATTGGATTGCTTGTGACATATGCAAAAACATTGGCATAATATGGATTCCTTGTCAAGTTGAAGGACAATCCCCCGGTGTAGAACATCCTACCAATCAATGCATCCAATTCCTCCCTTGCTCCTATATTGAATACTTGTTCCACGGTATTAGGCCCCCTCCTCCTCCTAGATTCACCTGCACCAATCGGCATGCTTGCACTTGCACCTATACCGATCATACTTGCAGTCGAAGATATAGGCAAAACTGACATCTTAAGCTTAGAAGCCCTCAACCTCGCCTCAGCTTGATCCAACGTCCTTTGAAACTCCCTTAGGTTTTCGGATGTTGACTTGGAACACATCTTAATTCCAGTCCCGCTTATCCTCAAGAGGTGATTTTTAACTCTTGAGTGTGAACCGGTAAAATCCTCTTTGTAATAATTACATCTCCATCTCTAATTTCCTCATGCCGTTCCCCCCATTTTCTCCAATTTGGTAACATATTTTCAAAGCGGACATTTGTCATCTTGTACTCCACTACCACTAGAACTCCTGTCTCGTTCCATTTCTGTAAAATACAATAGCAATAATAATAAATTAAAAAATTAATAATAGTAAAACAGTAACTAAAATCATAATTAACAGTAAATTAAAAAATGAAACCCTAATTAATTAACTAATTAATTAACAGTAACAGTATGAATCTTAGTTCTAATTTATATATTATTCTAGCATTTTTATGTTATTCTCATATTTTTATACAGTAAAAACGAAAATAATAACAGAGAATTAAAATTAAAAACAATAACAGTAAAGAGAGAGAGAATCGGATCGAGAGATAAAAGAGAGAGAATGAGAGAATGAGAGAGAGAATCAAAGAGAACGATAAAAGAGAGAGAATCAAAGAGAACGATAAAAGAGAGAGAATCAAAGAGAACGATAAAAGAGAGAGAATCAGAGAGAACGATAAGAGAGAGAGAGAGAGCGATCGGGGAGAGAGAGAGCGATCGGAGAGAGAGAACGTTCGGAGAGAGAGAGAGCGATCAGGGGGGAGAGAGCGCGTGATCGGGGAGAGAGAGAGCGATCAGAGAGAGAGAGGAGAGACTGACCGTGTCTTGGAGATGATCGACGACGACGAACCGTTGACGGGGATGATCGACGACGACAAGGACGAGACTGAGAGCTGGCGGTTGTCCTTCACTTCTTTGCAAGAGCCCTTTCGACGAGAATTCGGGTAAGTTCTAACAACTAGGGTTAGGGTTTGGGTTTCGGGTTTGGGTTTCAGATTTGGGTTTCGCCGTGACGCCCTCAACCTCGTCGTGTCCACCCCGTGTCTGCCGCGAGTCGGCGGAGTTGACCGTGTCGGCGCCGTTGACGACGTGTCTGACGGGTGTCGAACACGTGTTCGTCTTCGACAAGCGTCGGACACAGACTCGAGGGATGTTTGCAAGAGTTGGTGCTTCATAGATTAGGACCATGTCAGGAATCTTTCTCCCAAGAAACTCAAAGATCATCCAGTAAAAGACACTTCAAGACCTTCTCGAGAAAGATCTCTCACCAAGGTTCATATAAGAAAAAAGGCAATTTGTAACTATAATTGGTGTACCTCCAACTGCAAACAGCATAGCTAACAGCAAGAACAACTTAACAAAATGAGCAAAGTTCTTAAAACATCAGCTTTGACAAGGCAAAGGCCATGTTGTCTGGTCTAAGATTTACCCTTCCTATGAACATCAAATGCAAAGCTTCCTTATGTTCTGCAATTTTTTTAATGTCCTCTCTCCTGACTGACAACCAAACTGTAGTGGCTAACAGCTAAGATAGCAAACACAAAATTATTACTATTAACAATAAAAAATGACTAGCTGGGGAAAACTGAATCAGACTACAGAAGTGAAAGTGACCCCTACTTAAAGTTTAACTACATTGGCATGAACAATGAATTGCAAATACATAGCATCCACAGCCAAAATGGTTGAATGATGTGATGGTCAAGACCGGTCATGAATAAACATAGTAGGAATATCGCTCATCTTTTATTTGATGTGTATTTCCTTTTCCTTGCAGTTGTTGTACCATTATTTATTGGTATTCTTTTTCCCTTTTCTCTTCGTTTCCCATTTATTCATGTCATATCCCTCCTTTGCCCGTGTTTCGTGTAGCCATCCTTGCATACATGCATTTACATGTTACATGCATCTTACAAAAAAATGAGAGTCCGAAGCATGAGAATTCAACATCAGGCTATAAAGTGAGATCTGAGTCATTTACATGCGAAGATGGTGATTTTCAAACCAAAAATAACATTCTTCCATTATCACACTTATTGCTTCAAAATTTAGGCAAATGTAGTTTGAACAAACCTGATAAAGCACTGCAATTGTGGGTTTGGGACAACCATAAAGAAATTTGATATCCAAAACCTGAAGTTCTTCAAGCCTGCCGATAAGATATAAAAGATGTCAACTTCAAAGAACTATGATGAAGAAAACGTCACACTGGATGAAAAAGGGAACAAAAGGACACTTTGCAATAACGATACTTTGCTCCCTTTCCCAAGAATTAAAAATAAATAAACAAACAAGAATTGGAATATAAGTAGAATACTAATTGGAAACAAAAGCCACACTCATGCCGTACTATAAGACAGGCATGCAAGTTTATACATCCAAAAAAGTTTACACTTGGGCAAAGACAAAGCAAACTATTCAACATGCCTTAGTGAAAAAGGGAACAAACTGATTTTCCTTTCCAATTCTTTTTGGATATGACAAGTTGAACTTCTTTCAGCATTGCAACTCAAGACCTTAAACAACAAAAGCCACCTCCTTTGACTGCTATTATGTACTCACTCTAATGCTACCCAAAAATATTCAATTCACTAGTACCAAGGGATAAATGCCATAAATAACTTAGGCTATAGTTGTTAAGACATGCTAACCAACAACAGAACAAAACCAGCCAACATAAAAAACATTGCACAACCAACTTGGTGGGGGAAGCTGGTTAAACATGTCATGTCAATTTGTGACCTAAATCATTGATAATAGGAGTAGCTGGAGGAGCAAAGAATGAAATTGTTTAAAGAAAAGGATAAAAGCAAGACAAAAGCACATGATGAGCTCTCTTCAAATCAGTTCTTCATCTTTGCACCTATAATCTTTCTTTCTTTTTTATTCTCTTTCAACTTAAATTCCATGGGTCTAAAGATAGCATGTAATGAATAACCTCTCTTTGCATTTTCATGATATGAGTTGAACCTGTGGGAAATTACCCAGTTGGCTACGGGATTAGGTTTTTACAATTTTGTCGGTCAGCTTAGTCTCCGTCAAAATGAATTTTTCATGCTTGTATTAGGCTGGCACAAAGGTAAACCAGTACAAAACCCTCATTTTCTCACTATCAGTAAACTAAACGCAAAGAGAGTTCCTGCAAAAGATCTCCAACTGTCTTGTTTTCCTCCTTATGCAACCACGCATTTGGTTGTCTTTTACCAATACTGGGAAGTGGGACATGATGTTTTTGAAGCTAGTATCCCATATCCCATTCACAACATTTCTCACTTCCACCTGACCACGCCACCTATTCTAACTTTAAAAACGTATACATGCATCAAAGACATCTTAGTACCTGATATTGAATGCTTCCTTTAGTTGCCCTTTGTTATCAAACGGTATAACCTAATAAAACAAGAAAGACAGTCAGCTGCATAATATATGAACAATCGTCCAAGGTAACACACTACAATATAAGAACAGCTGTAAGCAAATAAATATACAGTGCAAGAAAAAAAATCTCTAAACATTCATCATAATTTTACTTACCTTGAAGAGACCATCATACAGGTGAAGACCAATCAACCTACAATCCGAAATTGAAACACCAGTGATAAAGAAACTTAAAAGAATTGAGACATGAACAGACATGAAAAATACAACACTTCCCAAAATGTTTGGAGGAACATACAGGAGCTGTGCACATGACATGCAGAACAAAACCTCTTGAAATACAAGCTACAATATATATGAGGGAGACATAACTGATTAAACATTAAAAATATTTATTCTATCTGGAGCTTATTGTCCCTAAGAACAAGTATAAAGACAAATTGAAGAGAACATAATATAGTCTGATGAGCTTTCCCTATGTACCAGCCTGTTTATATATTTTTTACTAGAGTCTGTTTATGAAGACAGATTTTTAGTCAGAGCGTGAATCCCCATTTGTCTGGCTGTAGGGTTGGAATACAAGCACATTATAATTCAAAAGGGATAGAGCTCTTTTCTAATTGTCCTCAATTGCAATGGACCTTATCTGGAGACACATCAAAGATGTTAAGCACAGCCAATATAATTGAAACCAGAAAAAATATCTATGTGGCCAAAATTCAAAGAACCACAAATCTGAAACTCGCTTTAGGAAACAAAAATAACCGTACAAACCTGTCCATTATCTGTTGGACGACCTATTCGATCAGATACATCTCCCATTGCTCTGCATACCAAAAATAAATTAACTCATAAGCATGATTATTGATAGCTTAATGGCTTCAACTAACTACATGAGCTTTAAAGATCGACCAAAACACCATCTGAATCTTCCTCATTTAAGTTTCACAGTATAGGCGATAGCAAGAGAGATTTATGATTGGAAAATGACTTAGGTTTGAAGCAAAAGGTAAGGAGAAATGGTGTCCCTAAAATGTAATAAGTAGAACATGATTATGACAAAGTTAATGTAAATACCAAGCACTAGTAGATACAGTTATCTAACAAAATCGTGCTGGAAAAGTATCCTGCATGTTAATCATGGAAATGATCACTGAAATTGAACTGAATACATAAACCATTCGTCAAAGATTTAAGAAACTGACTGAACAAGGGCCAAATGTAATTGAACGATCAGATGCTTATACTTGCATTTCACCCATATCTGGAAAATTTTCAATCAGAATGACAGCATCAACCAATTTGCAGGTGCAAGGTACATATAGTACTGAAACTTTAGGAAATTTGAAAGATAGAATCGTGTGCGATCAGAGGGGGGGGGAGGCAAAAAATGTATAGCATTATCATTTACTGCAAAAAATATTTTGAACGTACTATTTTACTTAGGAGAATTTCACATAAAATATAAAGAAAGCTTTTCTTGAGTGCAATCAGATAGATTTTTCTTAACAAATTCAATTATAACTCACATACCAAATTCTTTAAAAAAATATCGTTTGTCAGATTAAGTGCAGAAAAGAGATTAACCATGCCCAATGTTGCTGACAATCATCATATATGTTAGACTAAAAGAATAGCATGCTAGGTTAGTTACACCTAGGAAAAGTATATTAAAAAAAACTAATTATGCATATTTCATTGTTCTCTAACCTTGTAATGAGCTCTGACGCTTCTGCATCCCATTGAAGTACACAAAATTTGTATCTTTCTGTGGCAATAAATAGGAAATCTTGTTGTTCACCCTACAAAAGAAACAAGATAAGGAATAAGCTCCTTTAATACCAGAAACCATAACTCAACAGAAACTCAGTATAAGTATAGTACAGAAAGCATAAGCATAGACTACTCACATGAGGTCTAAAGAGTTCAAGAGTCGCAATTCTTCCATATATTGGAACATCCAGCATAGGCTGCAACATATACCCAGGATTATTTTTAAAAAAATAGAAAAAAATCGAGAAACAAAACATCAACAAGTATTAACACCTGATACTCAAGAATAATGTAAAACATATAACAAGCAACCGCAAGGAATCGATACAAAAGATGATAAAAGATACAGATTGATCAATCTCCTTAGCCGAAAGAACAGTATAATCAGTGCAATAAACAACTAACTGACCTTCAGAACAACGATAAACTTCCACCATCACAGCACATGTAAATTTGTTAGTGAAGACTAATGAATACTATACAACGATGCCTTAACTGGTCATTATATCATGGGGGGGAAAAATTTGAACCAAACAAAAGAGCTGGTTCTAATCCAAACCTACAGTAGATTCGGATTCTAAGATGTCAGAACTCAACAAAGACCGTCTTCCCCAAAAAAAATCAGTTCGAATAATATCATAAAAGTTAAATTTTTATGGATTTCGGCTAATGTTCTGATCAAATTCTAGGAGAAATCGGGTGTACTCAAAGCCTTCTAGGGTTTAATCTATTGTAAATTCTTGCATTACAGCAAAAAAAAAAAGAGCGAGCTTTACTGGTCGAAATCGATTTGTGGTTTCAAAATACCTGTAGGCCGTGGGGAGTGAGGTAATGAATCTCGATTCGAGTACATTTCCTGCAGATTATAAGAACGACAGGATCAGAGAGCGATTGAGACTGGAGCAAAACCCTAGAATCCCAAGCAAAACCCTAGAAAAGAGGGAGAGGGGAGGGGGGCGAACGCGATGATGAGGTTGAGCTCGTGAGGGGAGGTGAAGTTGCCGACGCAGGAGTGGGTGACGTTGGTGGGCTTGTGGGCCGTCACCACGTAGTTCCACATGCTCATCTTGTTTTCGCGGCAAGAAAGTACGGAGGGGGAGGAGGAAGAAGGCTGAGGAGAGGTGGAGATGGAGAGAGCGAGAGCGAGAGAGAGAGAGTGCCGCTGCCGGCCGATTTAGGGGGGGAAATGAGGGCGGGGGCGGAGAGACGAGCACGTGTGGGCCGGAGGCCCAAGAGGTGGACTTGTGAACGGACCCATGTAATTTCGGCATTTTTCCTCCTAATTGTTTGAATTATATTTACCATTTTATAGATATTTAATAAAAAATTAATGCTTTTTCAGGATTTGATGTTTAAAGAATAGAGTTTAATCAAATCGTATATTAGACTTATTTGGTTATCAAATATTTTTTTTCCACGTAAAAAATTCTAGAATACTGATGGGATTATAGGCTCTACATGTCATGTGCAAATCACAGGCCAATTTAGTATAGCCTTCATTAATGGTTCCTATTAGTTAGTGGGAAAAGGTTTTATGGATTAATCACACCAAAAACATCGATGATAGTGTTTTTGAATTTACCGAAACATTATCTAACGTGCAATCACAAAATTGAACAAAGAGCCAATTTCAAGGGGATATTCATACTAGGGTTAATTGCACTTATGGCCTGTTTGGATGGAGGGTAGAGAGGGGGAAGGGAAGGAAAATTTCATTTTAATCTTGTTTGGGAGTTTCATTTTGTAGGGTAGAGGAGGGGAATGGAGGGGAAATTTGGCCCAAATTCTTACACCCCAAATTGGGGTGTAATGGAGGGGAAGGGAAGGAAGGGGAAAAATTCCCCTTCCTTCCCTTCCCTAAGTAAACTCCCAAACACACCATTAGAAACCCTTTAGCCTCTCCTACTTTGAACTTATACATCCTCACTTGTTTATGACAGCATTTAGAGCATCTCCAACAGCTTCCCTATTTTATTGGTATTCTCACTTTTAAGGGGGGGTTAGTCACCTAGAACTTTTTAAGTAGAATTGGGATAATTGGTAAAGTGGGATAATTTTTTGACACTGGGATAATTTAGTGGAACAATGATGGGTAATTCACACTGGGATAATTTAGTGGAACAATGATGGGTAATTCTTAAAGTGTGATAATTTGGTAGGATAATTTGGTGGGATAATGATGGATAATATTATGCAGTTGCATAATTTGGTAGGATAATTTGGTGGGAGTAATGGTGGGTATAAAATACTATTGTTAATAATTGTATATTAAAAATAATATAATATTGATAAGCAAATTCTAGTAATAACTATAAAATATAATGCAATAAAGCATCACTATTCATCTCAAATAATAAAATAATTTACAAATAAATAAAAATCTAAATCCCTAGAGTGACTCGACTTCCATCATCCCACATGGCATCTGCCATAGAATTTCTCCAAGCTCCTACAGCTGCTCGTTGAGTCTGTAACTCGTCTTCTTTATCAGAGTCATCGTCTGCATCAGCAACATTTCTTGGAGCTTCTAGTGGAGGATCATAAATGTCGAAGTTCAAATCTCATAACATCATAAAGAAAAAAAATAAGCATTTTTTAGCCATTAACCCTTTAGACCAATCTCATCATGATCGCTAAAATCAAATCAGCAAATAAATGAAATGTACACAGGAATCATCCATGGCCGCTAAACAGATGATCGACAGATGAACTATAAATATCCCAATCAATTTACTGAACTGATTTAATAATAATAGATATCACCATTAACCATTCAACATTTAATCATCAATGTGATCGCAAAGTTGCTTTCTAACTTATAAAAAAACATATATAGCCCGCATATCTTTAGCACTAACCCACCAACACTATATTCTTAACCTAAACCACTGTTGTGGTGAGAAAACTTAGATCAAACAAATAATAATAAAGTAATTTAACGTCAAAAAGCTATCAATAAAGTAATACATCTTGAAGATAATAATAAAAGATCTAATCATCACAAAAATAAAGTAAAGACAGAAAAATAAACGGATGATTGACTTCATGGCAGAGAAATTTTCTAGGCGGAGAAACTAACCAAGAGGGAGGGAGGTGGTGTTTCACTTTTTTTTCCCAATTGTATTCTTTCCAATGTGTGGGATAATTTGAGAGAGGAGAACTTATGGTTATATATATAGGTAGTATAATTTGTGGGATAATTATGACCAATTATCCCAATTCTAATTCTAGTAGAATTCTACTTGACTAACGCACCAAAAAAATAATACAGTTCTAGTTCTACAAAAGTTCTACTTGACTAACACTATAAAAAAAATATCTCATTTTCTAGTTCTATGTGACTAACACCATAAAAATTTATCTCATAAATTATCCCAGTTCTAGTTTTAAGTTCTAGATGACTAACCCCCCCTTAGAGAATTTTGGGCTTTTTTTTTGTCCAACAGATTCCTCATCTCATTCACCAAAATAGGGATTGAGGAGAGAAAAAGGGGAGTTTTCCCCAAATCTGAGGCATTCTTCAAATATGTGGGGAGAACTTTATCATAAATATAGCACATTCTTCAAAACGGGATGGAGGAGAAAATAAATATAAAACAAAATCTGTAATTACAAAAAAAAAACCATAGGGCAGTTCCAATGCATAAGAGCATCCCAAAATAAGAATGTAGAATATTTTTATTATTGTAATAAATGCAGGATTCTTCAAAATGGGGAAGCTGTTGGAGTTGGAGCAAAAATAATTTGGAGAATATGACTTTTGTTTCCCCATTTTGGAGAAATTTTTGGGGAAACTGTTGGAGATGCTCTTACATACCCTAAAAATTTTAGAATTTGCACTTAACTATCCTTGATTATGCACATGTGAGAACCCTTCCTCCTCCCGCCTCCCCCCCCTCCCCCCCCAACCCCCCAAAAAAATTCTCATGCAACATTCACATGGAAAAGTTTAGAACTTTTAAACCCTTTAACTTTGTCAAATTTACTGTAAAAATTGTAGTAATCCTATTTTAAACGTATCCTAATTCTATTTTTAAATGGGAATTTGACAGATGTAATAATAATTTTAACAAATATTATCAGTTAAGATGTTTTAAATTAGAATAATGAGCGTCAGGTGAGATTTTTTGAGAGGAAAATCTCTCATTTCCATAACTAAGGGTAGTAAAGTGAAAAATCTGAAAGCTTTTAGGGTATATATTTATAGGGGTGGAAGCGAATAGATTAAATAACACATTGTTCATCTTTGTATTTGTTTAAAATTTTCAAATTCGAATAGTAGTCTCTGAATCTCTTTGAATTCAAACTTGAATTTGAATACACACATGTTTCAAGTATACGCGAATATTTATCAAAAATTATAGTAAATTTATTCGATGTAATAATTTATAGTTTATGAATTTTCAACTACGAAATTAAGAAGAAACTTTTATTTGGTTAAAGAAATTTGATTTTAAAACTAACATATAGAACTTAAATTAAGGTTAGAACTTAAATTACACAATGAAAAAGGGTCAGAACTTAAATTACACAATGAAAAAGGGTCAGAAATAATACCATGCATGTAGAAATACACATTAAAGAGAATAAAACTCTAACCAAATACTATTTAAATTCTATTCATTTATGATCTAAACGCTAAAAACTAATTTACTTGTACATGGACTATTAAATCGAATATGACTAAATAGTTAGATGAACAATTAACAAGCTATTTGTTTGTTATTTGGTTCCTTTCCAACCTAGAAAATGTTATAAAAACATGGGTTAAATTACTAGATTGATATTATTTTTTTACATTCATCTCATCAGTTTTTTTCTAGCTCCGATGAACTTTTGGTTTTTTCTGAGCCAAATATGCAATTAGACCCAAAACTTTAATGTCAAAAGGAAAAAAGCTGCAAAATGTCACGTGATGTTGTTAGTGTTATCTTATTCATGAGAAAAGTACCATATTATTATTTTTGTTGATGTTAGTTATCAAAAAGGGGGTTTAGTTGTGGATTAGAGTAGAGTTAAGGTCCTCAAATTCTTTAGATGAATGGCTCTTTAGATTGTTGTTCTTCCCTGCATATGAAGAACTTGTGAGAGGCTAGAGTTGAGTTCTCTGATTGTTCCTCTGATGATCAAGTGAGAAAATATAGTGATAGGAATTGATCAGAGCTGCATGAAAGTAGAAAAGTTACCTCATGCAGTGCAACTCTCTTTTATAGTAGATCGGAAAGCATGAAGGTAACTGTAGCTGAGTCCAGACAGGCAGCTGATCGATAAGTGTCTCTACAGGTATCGAATGCTGAAGTGGATGAGTCATCCATGATTGGATGTAAGAATGATTGAGGGTGGTTGGTAAGTGATGAGTCATGAGGGCTCGTGGCACCAACTGTGATGAGGAGGGGTAGCTGTTGGTGTGGAGTTCGAGGACGCACTGCCTCTTGACTCGGCTCTTTGAGTGAGATGACAAATATCGTCTTTTTAGTCGGCCTTGAGAGTTATCGGCTGAGATAGTGGGCCGAGTGTGGAGGCTTGTGGGCTCGATCTGATAAGTAGGTTGACAAGTATCGTCTTTCGAGTCAGACATGTAAGGTGTCGGCCTATGGAGTCAGCCGCAGGAGTGGTTCGACTCATCTGGGTTCTGATCATATCTAGTAGGCGTGGAGTGAGATGAATGTCGACAACTCAAGGAAGATTAACACTTAATTATTTGTAGACCATAACAATGGCCCCCTTTCACTCAAACTCGGTTGGCCGAGTATGGGTGAAAGTTAAACAATCGTCGGTTAGCGATTTTCGAGGCGCATTTATAAGGAAAGTGATGGGTTGCTATCATGGAGGTCGGCTGGCCACCTGGAAACGAAGTGATAGTAAGTGGCGCCAGGAGTTGGAGATTCGGTAGTAAATGATTGAGGGGTTTTAGGCGCATCGCAGTAAGTAGTCGGCTACAATTGCTAAGCTTAAGGAGGAAGCTGGCCACCTCTAGCATGACATCCTCGAGCGGGATGACGGAATTAGGTACCTGTCTGAAGAGGTGGAGGTTGAGAAGCATAAGAGGCTTAATGCTCAGGAATATGCTCGGTCGGATTGCCTGGCAACCCATAGATTGAAGCTCGACCTGGAGGAGGAGCAGTGGGCTAACAAGGAGCTTAGGGAGGAGAGCGTCCAGGCTGTTCTGTAGGCCGAGCAACAACGCGAGTCATCCCTCACTAAGGTCCAATCTCTGCAAGCTTGCCTC